TCTCTCTCTCTCTCTCTCTCTCTCTCTCTCTCTCTCCCTCTCTCTCTCTCCCTCTCTCTCCCTCCTCCTCCTCCTCTCCCTCCCTCTCTCTCTCTCTCCCTCCTCCTCCTCCCTCTCTCTCTCTTTCTCTTTCTCTCTCTCTGTTTTTTGCTCGTACATTTGTTTTGCTGCAGTTTTTCTTTCCAGGTGTTTTTATGAATGAGTGGCAGGTGCTGTGGGCAGGGGGCGGAGCTGCACCTGTCGCAGTGAGCGGGGTGCTCCTCACAGCGGCAGGGACTCCTCGTGTAAACACAGTGTGAGGTGAGAGGATTTACTCTAAACCTGAATCCAGGACTAAACCAGGACTAAACCAGGTCTAAACCAGGTCTAAACCAGGTCTAAACCAGGTCTAAACCAGGACTAAACCAGGTCTAAACCAGGACTAAACCAGGTCTAAACCAGGACTAAACCAGGTCTAAACCAGTCTAAACCAGGTCTAAACCAGGACTAAACCAGGTCTAAACCAGGTCTAAACCAGGTCTAAACAGGACTAAACCAGGTCTAAACCAGGACTAAACCAGGTCTAAACCAGGACTAAACCAGGTCTAAACCAGGACTAAACCAGGTCTAAACCAGGACTAAACCAAGGTCTAAACCAGGACTAAACCAGGTCTAAACCAGGACTAAACCAAGTCTAAACCAGGACTAAACCAGGTCTAAACCAGGCTAAACCAGGTCTAAACCAGGACTAAACCAGGTCTAAACCAGGACTAAACCAGGTCTAAACCAGGACTAAACCAGGTCTAAACCAGGACTAAACCAGGTCTAAACCAGGTCTAAACCAGGTCTAAACCAGGACTAAACCAGGTCTAAACCAGGACTAAACCAGGTCTAAACCAGGACTAAACCAGGTCTAAACCAGGACTAAACCAGGTCTAAACCAGGTCTAAACCAGGTCTAAACCAGGACTAAACCAGTCTAAACCAGGACTAAACCAGGTCTAAACCAGGACTAAACCAGGACTAAACCAGACTAAACCAGGACTAAACCAGGTCTAAACCAGGACTAAACCAGGACTAAACCAGGACTAACCAGACTAAACCAGGTCTAAACCAGGACTAAACCAGGACTAAACCAGGACTAAACCAGGACTAAACCAGGACTAAACCAGGACTAAACCAGGTCTAAACCAGGACTAAACCAGGTCTAAACCAGGACTAAACCAGGACTAAACCAGGTCTAAACCAGGTCTAAACCAGGACTAAACCAGGACTAAACCAGGTCTAAACCAGGTCTAAACCAGGTCTAAACCAGGTCTAAACCAGGACTAAACCAGGACTAAACCAGGTCTAAACCAGGTCTAAACCAGGTCTAAACCAGGTCTAAACCAGGACTAAACCAGGACTAAACCAGGTCTAAACCAGGACTTAAACCAGGTCTAAACCAGGACTAAACCAGGTCTAAACCAGGACTAAACCAGGTCTAAACCAGGTCTAAACCAGGTCTAAACCAGGTCTAAACCAGGACTAAACCAGACTAAACCAGGTCTAAACCAGGACTAAACCAGGTCTAAACCAGGTCTAAACCAGGACTAAACCAGGTCTAAACCAGGACTAAACCAGGTCTAAACCAGGACTAAACCAGGACTAAACCAGGTCTAAACCAGGTCTAAACCAGGACTAAACCAGGTCTAAACCAGGTCTAAACCAGGTCTAAACCAGGTCTAAACCAGGTCTAAACCAGGTCTAAACCAGGTCTAAACCAGGACTAAACCAGGACTAAACCAGGTCTAAACCAGGACTAAACCAGGTCTAAACCAGGTCTAAACCAGGTCTAAACCAGGTCTAAACCAGGTCTAAACCAGGACTAAACCAGGTCTAAACCAGGTCTAAACCAGGACTAAACCAGGACTAAACCAGGTCTAAACCAGGACTAAACCAGGTCTAAACCAGGTCTAAACCAGGTCTAAACCAGGTCTAAACCAGACTAAACCAGGACTCTAAACCAGGACTAAACCAGGTCTAAACCAGGACTAAACCAGGTCTAAACCAGGTCTAAACCAGGTCTAAACCAGGACTAAACCAGGACTAAACCAGGTCTAAACCAGGACTAAACCAGGACTAAACCAGGACTAAACCAGGTCTAAACCAGGACTAAACCAGGTCTAAACCAGGACTAAACCAGGTCTAAACCAGGACTAAACCAGGACTAAACCAGGACTAAACCAGGACTAAACCAGGACTAAACCAGGACTAAACCAGGACTAAACCAGGACTAAACCAGGTCTAAAACCAGGTCTAAACCAGGACTAAACCAGGACTAAACCAGGACTAAACCAGGACTAAACCAGGACTAAACCAGGACTAAACCAGGACTAAACCAGGACTAAACCAGGTCTAAACCAGGACTAAACCAGGACTAAACCAGGACTAAACCAGGACTAAACCAGGACTAAACCAGGACTAAACCCTGGCTCTGTTCTGCTTCCTCAGTGTTCGTTCGTTCTTTCTCTTTCTTTTCTCGTTTTGTTCATAATGAGTTTTTAAAGTGTCGCTCACCTTCTGACCACAGCCGCGCTCAAACAGAACATCGAAGAACCCGACCAGAGCCTGCACAGAACACAGAACACAAGAACACAGAACACGAGAACATCAGAACACCAGAACACGAGAACATCAGAACACGAGAACATCAGAACACATCAGAACACGAGAACATCAGAACATCAGAACACGAGAACATCAGAACATCAGAACATCAGAACATCAGAACAGAGAACATCAGAAACATCAGAGAACATCAGAACACAAGAACATCAGAACACGAGAACATCGAGAACATCAGAACATCAGAACACGAGAACATCAGAACATCAGAACATCAGAACACGAGAACATCAGAACATCAGAACACGAGAACACAAGAACATCAGAACACGAGAACATCAGAACACGAGAACATCAGAACATGAGAACATCAGAACACGAGAACATCAGAACATCAGAACATCAGAACACGAGAACATCAGAACACGAGAACATCAGAACATCAGAACATCAGAACACGAGAACATCAGAACATCAGAAAATCACGAGAACACAAGAACATCAGAACACAAGAACATCAGAACATCAGAACACCAGAACATCAGAACATCAAAAACATCAGAACACGAGAACATCAGAACATCAGAACACAAGAACATCAGAACACAAGAACATCAGAACATCAGAACATCAGAACACAGAACACAAGAACATCAGAACACAAGAACATACAGAACATCAGAACACGAGAACATCAGAACATCGAGAACATCAGAACATCAGAACACGAGAACATCAGAACATCAGAACATCAGAACACGAGAACATCAGAACATCAGAACACGAGAACACAAGAACATCAGAACACAAGAACACAAGAACATCAGAACACAAGAACATCAGAACACAAGAACATCAGAACACACAAGAACATCAGAACACAAGAACATCAAGAACATCAGAACACAAGAACATCAGAACATCAGAACATCAGAACATCAGAACACAAGAACATCAGAACATCAGAACATCAGAACACAAGAACATCAGAACACGAGAACATCAGAACATCAGAACACAAGAACATCAGAACATCACATGGGTCTAGTGCCTCGGACCCATCCTTCAGTGGAACACATCTCCAGACCTTGAGCCGGTCTCGGTCTGGACCTTGAGCCGGTCTCGGTCTGGACCTTGAGCCGGTCTCGGTCTGGACCTTGAGCCGGTCTCGGTCTGGACCTTGAGCCGGCCTCGGTCTGGACTCTTTGTCGTGTCTTTGTGGATGGATGAAGTTTGTGAAGGTCTAAGTTCTCGCTCAGACTTGAGGAGGACACGTGAACTCGGGAGTTGAACCTCAGACCTTGTGGCTCTGGTGAAGTTTGTCTCTGATTCTTTCTGTTTAAAATCTCGTCTTCTGGTTTTTGCCTGAGTCACAGCTCGTCCCCCCCTCCTCCTCCTCCTCCTCTTCATCCCTCTCTCTCTCTCTCCTCCTCTGACTCCTTCTCTTTCTCCTCTGACTCCTTCCCTCTCCCTCCTCCCTCCATCTCTTGGTGGTTCCTCTTCTCTTTTCCTCCTCTCCTCTCTCTCTCTCTCTCTCTCCCTCCGTCTCTCCTTCCCTCTCTCTGCCTCTGCAGGCTCCTCTCCTCCCTCCATCTCTCCTCCTTTTCTCCCTCCGTCTCTCGGTGGGCTCCTCCTCTCCTCCCTCCCTCCTTCCCTCCCTCCTCCTCTCCTCCCTCGTTCCCTCCTTCCCTCCGTGGGTTCCTCTCCTCTCCTCCCTCCCTCCCTCCTTCCCTCCCTCCTCCTCTCCTCCCTTGTTCCCTCCTTCTTTCCTCCCTCTTTCCCTCATTCCTTCGTTCCCTCCTCTCTCCTCTCCCTCCCTCCCTGTCCCTCCCTCCCTCCTCCTCCTCCTCCCTCCTCCTTCCCTCCCTCCTCCTCCCTTCGTTCCCTTCTCCTCTCTCCTCCCTTGTTCCCTCCTTCCCTCCCTCTCTCCTCCTCCTCTCCCCTCCCTCGTTCCCTCCTTCCCTCCTCTCCTCCCTTGTTCCCTCCTCCTTTCCTCCCTCTTTCCCTCATTCCTTCGTTCCCTCCCTCTCTCCTCCCTCGTTCCTTCCATCTCTCTGTGAGCTCCTCTCCTCCCCTCCCCTGTTCCCTCCTTCCCTCCCTCTCTCCTCCTCCTCTCCCCTCCCTCCTCCTCCCTCGTTCCCTTCTCCCTCTCCCCTCCCTCCTTCCCTCCCTCCTCCTCCCTCGTTCCCTTCTCCTCTCCCCTCCCTCATTCCCTCGTTCCCTCCTCTCCTCCTCCTCTCCTCCCTCGTTCCTTCTTTCCCTCCGCGGGCCTCTTGTCATCAGCACAAAGACATAAATTATGAGTTGGCGTTTGTCGTTTGCAGCTCGGGGACGTTTCGCTGACAAAAGCAAACAAACCAACGCTTCAAAATCAGCCCTGTTAGCTTTTCTGCCCTGGCCGCCGCCGCCGCCGCCGCCGCCGCCGCCGCCGCCGCCGCCGCCGCCGTTTGAAATGAGTTTGGAAAGAGAAAGAGCGACGGCCGCGGGACAAACGCTCAACCAACACATTTATTTCACTCTTTTAAAGTTCACTCCTTCTTTTTAAACCCGCAGACTCCAGAAGCTTCTCCAGACTCACACACAACAACTAGCAGGATAACACACACCTCCTGATACTCCACATACACCACGTTTACAGTGTGGGGAAGTTGACTTTTAAAATGTAATCCCCTACAGATTACAGATTACACACACCAAAATGTAGTTTGTAACAGAATCCATTAAATTACTTACAGTGAGTAATGTAATCTGATTACTTTGGATTACTTGATTTGTTGTAGAGAAACAAAGACGAGGAAATCTTCACATCAGAAGTTTTATCTGATAAAAGAAAATAAAAAGTCCAAACTTTACTGAACCAAATTCAAAATATTATTGATAGAAAATGAAGAAACACGTCCACACAGCAGGATTTAGTCCTGGTTTAGTCCTGGTTTAGTCCTGGTTTAGTCCTGGTTTAGTCCTGGTTTAGTTTCCAGCAATGACTGGAATCACCGGGAAAAAAATAAAATAAAATAAAAAAGGGGGATTTAGCCCAAAATGTGAAACAGTAAAATCTCTCTGTTTAATCCATTTATTTCAACAAAGTAACTGTAATCCAATTCCCACTCACTGAAACAGTAACTGTAACTGAATACAGTTACTCATCATTTGTACTCCAGAACTTGTAATCTGTTACTCCGACACTGCACATTTACATGAGAGATTTAATTCAAGCATCGTGAATCTCAGATTCAGGTCATCGTCCAGTTCACACGGAGAAAAGATCCTGTGAAAAAGTGAGGATCAAACCTCCATGTTTGTTTCCCAGTGGAACGTGTCTGTTGACAAAGTCGATCTTTTCAAGTCTTTTGAACCATTTCACTTTTGTTTCTGGTTCTGATATTGTCATATTTTAGTTTTGGGATTCGGACGTCGTTAATTGTTGTGGTTGTTGGATCCAAACAGCGGAAAACGACTCCAGAAATGTGTTTGTGAACTTCATAAATGTAAAAGTGAATCAGATGTGTGTGACTCAAACCTCTGTTCAAACTGTTTCTCTTCCCAACAGAATTGATTCCCAAAACTAAAATCTGACAATATCAGAAGCAGAAACAAAAGTGAAATGGATCTAAAGACTTTGTCAACAGACACGTTTCACTGGGAAACAAACATGGAGGTTTGATGATCACAGTGAGCAGCACCAGGATCCACGGCTCTGTCCTGGGGGGGGAGGATCCTCCCCCTGAGGCTGTGTGTGGCCTCACTCTCGTTCTCGGGCAGGACACGGGGCCGGTGTGTGTGTGTGTGTGTGTGTGTGTGTGTGTGTGTGTGTGTGTGTGTGTGGGGGGTGAGGGAGGGGGGGGGGGGTCTATCAATCTCCACGTGGCACTTGTAGTGGCAATGATGCAGAACTAATAGCTTTTAATCCTGCTGCAGCTGACGACCAGAGGGCGGGGGGGGGGCGATCAATGAGAGGACGGGGGGGGGGGTAGCACGGACCAGAGCCAGGACCAGGACCAGGACCAAGACCGAGACTGAGACTGAAGGCTAAATATAGATTCAGATCTGGGCCACGATCGTTTGGGACGAAAAAAGATCAACTCCAGGATCAATACTCGATACTCAATACTCAATACCGATACTCAGTACTGGATACTCAGTACTGGATACTCAGTACTGGATACTCAGTACTGGATACTCGATATTCGATAATCAATACAATGTTGTTTTTTTTTTACAAAAGTGAAAAGTGAATTTGTGAATCATTTCTTCAACTTAAGATCAGGTGATCAGCAAAAAAACTGTTAAATATGAATAATAAAAACATGATCCCATATTGAACCTTTCCTGATTAGTTTAGTCCTGGTTTAGACCTGGTTTAGTTCTGGTTTAGTTCTGGTTTAGTTCTGGTTTAGTTCTGGTTTAGTTCTGGTTTAGTTCTGGTTTAGTTCTGGTTTAGTTCTGGTTACACAGATATAAGTTTAGTTTGTTCCATCGTAGTTTAGTTTCTGTTTTGTAAACTTCTAGATTTGATTTGGCGAGTGACAGGTGCAGACAGGTGAGTGACAGGTGAGTGACAGGTGAGTGACAGGTGAGTGACAGGTGAGTGACAGGTGAGGTGGATCTGGGCGGTTTTAGGTTTTACCGTCTGGTGTTTTTCTGAAACTGAAACATGAAACTTTACGAGTTTGTGAAGAAACCGCGCGTCATAAATTTTTCAAAATAAAACCAAAAATTTAATGAAAATAATTATTGATTGTGAAATTATTATCATTATTTACCTCCAAAACCAAAATGAAAAAACAGATAACGACTTGTTTTTTCAGTTTCTGGTTTTGTGTTTAAATGAAAAACGGAATAAAAACGGATACGATGGACGATGGAAAACCGTGACGTAAAAAACCCAAAGTCACGACGAAAGAAAAAATCTGTGTCATCTTCCAGGTTTGTTTTTATTTCAAACAAAACTGAATAGAAAAAGTAAAAGTGTCGTCTCGTCTTCGCTTTTTATTCGTCGTTTA